GTATAATAAATGGGATTTTACATTTTAAAAAGCAAGAATTTTTATTAAACGAAAGGCAATTCACTTCTTCAGTTGTTTGAGAGGAAAGTTTTAACTAGTGTGTGTTTTTACTAATATATATATTTTTTTACAATCGTTTTTGCTGATATTTACGAAGGATGCCATTGGCTACTACTTTGACTGTACAAAGTTGACTGCATACTTCTTGTATGCATTGGTGTCTGTGTCCCTGCAAAATCTCATACTCTTCAACGTTCTTCAGTTGTCCCTTTGGAGGAAACTCATAAAGGTTCTTTGTAGATTCCTGGATCTGGACATTTAAATAGTCTTTATTTCATCTGCAGCTGGCGCAGAGCCAGTTCGAGGTGGATACTAATGCAAGTTTATTGAACATAGCAGACAAATCCAAAGGAAGTTTCATAAGTGGAGTCAAAAACAGAAACAGGTCAGGTGATTGGCAAACAGCGTAGACAAGGGCAAAGACAGAAATCAAAGTACAACTGTTTGATAACATCACTACTTAAATATTATCACAACGCAGGTTAACAACTCATTAAGTTGAGTCAGGCTTTCCTGATCAGGTCCTGTGGGCTTTCATTTTAAAAGGGTGAAGCTCACACTGACTCAAATGCTTGTTAAAAAAAAGCTGGATTAAGGTGGTATACTGTATTTTAAACTATTAAACTATTAAAGAATTCAAATATAATAACAGCAAAAAAACAATACTGTTGTAGCTGCCAAGGCACATAAAAAACAGCTGACACTGTAAATGCATAAGTTATAATAGATAACTTATCATTTCATTTTAATTCACATAAGTAAAGTATAGATCACATAAGTACACTTAAAGTAACTGTAATTGCAAATAAAATAACTAGCAGTAAACTGTCAGGTTACTTGTTTAAATAGGCTACTTGTTTAAAAGTTGTTTACCATATACTATCTTCTTTGTCTGATTGTTGTGCGTATGACAAAGTGCTCTGGTTATATGTCTGACAACTAGAGACTAAAGACTGGTGGTGGGCCTTCACCCCCAGATTATACACTGGTTAAAGAATTGGCCCTTTAATGGAGGTCCATACCTCTGCTATACCTCTTCGTAATCAAGCTCAAATCCATAACATAAAAGGTCTGTATGTGATGACGTGTATCACGTGTGTGAAAGTGTATGTACTACTTGTGTGCACTATTGAGAATTTTGTTAGCATGTTGAACCATACTGCGACTTTATATTAAATCAATTGTTTGCATTTTTGTTTGTCGTTGAAGCAAGTATTTATCAAATGGTACTTATGTTGCCAAAATAAATAAATACATTGTAATCTGCTAAAACGCATGCGCAGGGTTCGGTGCCCGAGTTAGCATGACATCTTTCGCTTTAGTGATTTTTCATGCAAACCATGCCCCGTTCCAAACTAAACTGCAAGCGTGAAAGGCACTGTTTGTACCAGATGAACGGACAGCACCTTGCGTTGCCATCTGTGTCCTCCAGAGAGTTTGAGGTATATCAGACTTTATAGACTACGCAGGGCAGCGCAGACCGATGGGCGTATGACATCAAAGTACCGCGAGAACGACTCGAGAATTACGCAGTACTGATCGCAGGACTATGTGCAGCGCCGCGTGAAGTCTAAACATGGCTCATGTCTAAAGATGGGAACAAGTTATGTTGTTTCTTTCTACGGCACAAATCGAGCACAAACGAACGCCACCTGTTTGGGGTGATTTAAACGACATGGGGTGGAGAGTGACGTCACTGCTCCCAACATTCTTCTTGTTATATCTCGGGAAGGAAAGTCATTACAGGGTTTGTTTTAATGGCACAAATCGAGCACAAACGAACGGCACCAATTTGATACGATTTGGACGACATGGGGTGGAGAGTGACGTCACACAGCCAAAAAAAGAATAATTAATATCTTGACCGCCAATCACAGCAAATGTTCGTTTTTGCGGCACAAACCAGCACAAACACAGCACAAAGGAATGGTATAGTTTTGGTGACAATTTATTTATATGGGGTGCCAACTTCACAGAGCCCCTCTTCTGACCCACGTGGCTCCAGCATATCAACGTCTTTTGTAGACATTCAGTACAAGTGAACTAAAATAAAAGGTTATTTATATAGTTGCATAAACATTAATAAGTCATGTTTTCCTCTTTGTTCAATAAGACCGCTATAGCCTGGCGGCACTACATATGAGGGGGCTATTGTTTGGGCACAAGTGAGTTGTGTTATCAATACACTAACTGATTGTAGGCAACATTGAACATAACACAGATTCCCCAAACTGATGGGGCCAAAAATGATAATTCTGATACTGTGTAATTGTCTGTGTGCTCTGAGAAGTCTTTGGGGGTAAACTCAGTCACTGCGTTCACATTAAATTGCCATAGTGGTCTACACAAATTGTATGTTCAGAATTCTCTATTAGCAATTTTTTTCCCTGCTTAATCCATAGGGTATACAGTGACAGCATTCCTCCCCGCCTAGGACCTCCACCTGCAGGCATAGCAGGGTGACCTCAGATATAAATCAGCATTTAAAAAAGAAAATCTGAATTATTGAGCATTTTAGCATCTCCCAGTTGTGAGTATTTTTTAATGTAAGGGCGCAATACAAAAGAACCCTAGAATGAGACATGGAGTATAACCTCATCAAACTGCAAAGCAGACGGCTGGATTACTGAAAAATGGTATAGTATTGCCTTATTGAAAGATGCTTTAATGTACTTCTCAAAAAAATCTTGTTTTAATGTAGTCTTTTCTCTTCTCCAGAAAAAAAAATCTCTGAATAAAAAAATAATTGGTGAAATAAAGATTGTGTCCACTGTTTAATGTTTGGCATTTGAATGATAACATATATTCATTAGGAATAAAGAATTGTTCAGCAAAGGCCTGTCTCAAAGCCCTGCCCTCTGGTTGCTCCATGCTGACAGAATTCGGGAGTAATTCAGAATAACGGGAGTCTCTCCTAATCATGGTTATACGGTGCAGCACTGTTATATCACATGCCTTGGCTGGGTCTACGCTTAACAGGTAAATCTTAAATAACTGAAGTGTGACAATTAAGCCCAAAGGTTATTTCTATCTTGGCCCTAGTTTTTTGCATGACCCTATTAAATTCAACCCTGAGGTCCAGGCAGTGGCTCTGGATATGAAGCCATCATCAAGACATTCTTGCAGGTGTACACTCTGTCTCCAAGCAGCAAAGTAAGGTAGTCAGTATGCATACCAAGCTCTAAGCACCTGCTGCCTAATATATCCCACTCCTTGACAGGTGCCCTTGTAGCAAGATAATCAATGTTATTCTTGTCACCTGTCAGTGGTTTTAATGTTAATGTTATGTTATGTTATGTTATGGTTTGTTTGTGTGTGTAGGGTGTGTGTGATTGTGCGCAGGTGTGATTAATTGGAAGTCTGATGAACATGAATGTTGATATAGGTCATATAACTGTGTTTGTAGTCCTTGCAGCTCCTGGGAAATAGACTTGAATGTAGAAGTGTCGCATAGGATTCGGGGCAGTGGAGTTCATGGTGGAAACAGACGAGGAAGTGACATTAACACTGATGCTTGCTTCTTTCAATTTTTATTATTTTTAGTAAAATTTATTATATTTGTGTGGCACATGCTGCATAACTAAGAGGTTCACTAATATAATTTTAGGGCACCACAATTAAGGAAGGCATGCCTTTTATTTTAGACAATTGTAGGGTTCTAGCATTGCTTACAGGATTTTATTGTCTCACCAGTCCAATATAAACAGCACCATAATTGTCTCATAAAGGGTCAAAACGTGAAGTGAAAAGAAGGATGTTGGTGCAGATTTTTTTTTTTTTGGTTGCTTGCTTGCTTGCTGTGGTTCTGCCTATTTTGTCAAAAGAAAGAAACTCAGCTTTTTTGGTGTGCTCATGGAAATTAAAGTCTCTAGCTCCTCCTTCTCACCACCTTCCAGATCTTTGGCTGGTGCCGTTAATGTCAGCATTTAATCACATTTGTCTGCACTTTTTAAAAAAAATAAAAGAGCAG